CCCGAAGCACACTTAACTCTTCCTCGCTCATTCGGTAGATGCAACCGCGCGGAGGTATGGCCCCGTCCTCGAGGATGATCTCGTGGCGGATGGGTTGATCCGGTACTACTCCGTGCGGGCCTTCGAACACATCGCTGTAGGCGTCGAGAAGCTCGGTGATGCGTGGATCCGAAGGTGAGTCCGTCGATGAAGCGTCATGGGGCGGGAGGGCGTGGAGAAAACACACCCCCATCTCCTCGATGTCGTCTCTGATGATGGAAGCTCGCATGCTTGCGGCAGATACCATGTGGCAGTTGATCGAAGGATAAGGAAGAGGCACCGTGCATGGAACTAGTACTCCGTTCCGATCGCGAATGTGAACGGTGCGGTGGAAGAAGTTCACCAGGTGATCCTCGCTTCGCAGCCATGACATGCCCAAGATCATGTCAAATTTGGTGTCCAGAATGTCAAAGGACACCGCCTCACTTGCGTGAGAGGCAAAGTACACTGGGACGTTGTCAATGCACCGGTCGATGGACTTGTGCTTGCGACCGTCCGCCAAGGTGACTTGCGTAGGCTGGGACTTCCTCCGGACTCGCGAGCCAAGGCCGGCGCGCACCATGAAGTCCTCGTTGATGTTGTTGCGAGATGCTCCGCAATCGAACAAAGCGTTGCAGGTCGCTTCTCTGATCTGGATGCGTACATATAGCAATGGTGTGTCGATGTCGTCGTACCGTTGCGTCTTGAACTCGCGGTAGATCTTCGCAATGTAGACGTGAAGGTCGACAACCTCTACTCCAACGTCCATCAACGGAGTCGGTACTGCAGTGTGCAAGTAATCTCGCAGTTCTGCCATGAGGACATTGCAATGCGGTTTCGGCAATCGTCCGGTCGGGGGAACGGGCATCCACTGGAAGTCCGTGAACGTCAGTGGGTCGAGCACCTCAAGTCTTGACCACGACGATGAATCCCCGACGATAGATGGCGGCGAAGCTGCCGAATCGATTGTTGATGGTGATGAAACCGTGCATACGGTAGATTGTTGCACGTGGAGCGGTTGGTCCAGCGGTGGAACCAAGTGGACAGCATAGTCCTGTTAAGTGTAAGGAGAACTTGCGACATTCGCGTTCTCCCCAGATGTGCAGGAGGCCGCTAGCAAGGCGGCCGAATCTGGCGGAGTAGAAGGTTGAGTCGCCTCACCTTCCGCGGAGCTCAGTTTCCCGAGTTGAGGCGGGGTCGCACATTCTCCTTGCCCTGATCCTGGCACAGGGAGGTCTTGTACTTGGTGCTGTTGCACCAATAGCAGCTGCCGTAGCGGCCGCGGACCTTGTACTCCGCCTCGGTCAAGCCGAACTTGACCCATGGAACTTGTACTGGCTGTCCATTTCCGGCCTGCGATGCGGATTTCGCCTTCCCATTGTTGCGGGACTTGTTGTTGCTTCGCGGCTGGACAACAGCCACCTGATCTCCGTCACTTGATGCGGGAGTGGCTGCTGGGTTGTCTCCACTGTCCGACTGGACTGCAGCGAAGTGCTGCTGTCGCGGACCAGTTCGTRCCTTCTCCACATAGGTCGGCTGCCATGTTGATTTCTCGTGTGCAGCTGACCTGTTGGTCTTGATGATCTCCCTCGCCTTGTCAATGATCTCAGCGAAGGTCGAGTACTGCTCGCGGTCACCAAGAGCCTGGCCCAATGCCGCACAGGACCTGTTGTAGAACTCACGGCGTAGATGCGTGAATGCCAATTCGAGATTGGGCACCGCCGCAATCTTCTGCCACTCCGTGAGCCAATCCCGTGTTGTAGTGTTGCCCTGTGACATGGTGAACAWACGGTTGATGGCGAGTGTCGGCGCGTCGTCGACGATGAACCGCTTCTTCCACAGCCGTGTCAGTTCCTCCCATGTGATTTTGTCCTTCAAGTCCGGTACGTCAACGCCGTGAGAGGTTGCCAGGTGGCTCAACCAGGTCTGGCATCCGCCCTTTGAGTTCAGGAACAGGGCGCCGATGTACGTGTGTTTGGCGACGAGCAGAATCCTGAGTTGCGTTGTGAATGCTTCCCACCAGAGGACCGGATCCTGCTGTGTGTAGTCGTCGAACTTGTCCAGTTGGAAAGTTGGCATCTTGTACATCTTCGGATTGTCATCCGCGTTCGTCGACTGCAACTGCTGGACCTCGGTCTTCAAGGTATGCAGCTGACTGCTGATGGCGGTCGGCGCAGCGAAGGTGCTGATGTCGCCGAGCATTTCCACTACGTGGTCAACTCGTTCCTCCAGTTGGCGGCTAGAGGATGCACTGCTGGAATCCTCAGCAGCTGGTCCTGGTACAGCCTGTTCCAGGTCCAGCAATCGGGCATCGAGTGCCCGAGTTGCATCCTCGTGGCTCTGCACTGTATGGCGGAGCTTTGCCAACTCCTGATGTTGTTGCGTCAGGTCATGGTACTGTTTCTCCAACTCGGACCGTTGGTAGTTGCAAGCATACAACAACCGTGTCACGAGTTTATAGAGAAACTCCTTATGCTGCTCTTCCGGTGTTTCGTCGTCGCCGTTTGGTTCAAAGTGCCAGAACTTGAGTTTTTCGATGCTTGTGGCTTCATGCCGCTGCAGCAGATCCTGGGCTTCCTTGCGGCGAGCCTGGGCATCTGCGTCTGCTTCGGCCTGTAGCCGCAGCTTCTCTGCTGTTGCCGCTTCTTCAGCCTGTGGCAGCCTTGACTGCCAGCAAGCGTTGTTCCTCAGCCTCGATTGCAACGAGCTGAGCCTGGAAGCGCTTTTTGTAGTCGGCAATGGGCTTATTGGCCAGTTGGCCTGGCAGACCCGTCATGTTGCTGACGTGGCACTGTGTCTGACGGGGCACTGCTGACGTGGCACTGTGTCTAACGTGGCACTGCTTACATGGCCTGTGTCTGACGTGGCACTGCTGACGTGGCACTGCTTACGTGGCACTGTGTCTGACGTGGCACTGCTGATGTGGCACTGCTTACGTGGCCTGTGTCTGACGTGGCACTGCTGACGTGGCACTGCTGACGTGGCACTGCTTACGTGGCACTGCTTACGTGGCACTGTATCTGACTTTGCGCTGTTGATGTGGCACTCCTTACGTGGCACTGTGTCTGACGTGGCACTGCTGATGTGGCACTGCTTACGTGGCACTGTACCAACCCGGAATGCATGCAAAGGGGTGGGTGGGAGGGAAAACGTAGGTAAACAAACAACCCAACAATACTTCCCTCCGGCCCTAATCAACAGATAAAAAATAAAATAAAAAATAAAAGAGGACTACTTCCTTTTTTTTTTTTTTTTTAATATTTGTCGATCTATTATGAGTAGGACATTTCAGAAGAGTACTATGAACGAGATCTAGGCTAGGTTCCGCAAAGTTTTGGCTTTTACAAACTGCGATCTTGAAAAAAAAATTGCGAGACGGAGTAAAGATGTGATTTTCAGAAGAGAACGAAATCTAGTTTCTGAGAATATGCAACCTCCGAATATGCCTAACGCAATATTGGTAGGCTTCGCAAGATTTCGGTTTTCAAAAAAAAACTTTGCGAGATAGAATGGAAATTCAATTTTCAGAAAAGAATAATTTCAGTTTTCGAGAATATGACCACTTCTATCGTTATCCCAATATGCCTAGAGAACGAAAATACTACATAAATTTCAGCTATGTATGCGAAATATCAGAGAAACGAAATGCTACTATCAGAATTTTCAGACAAAACGAAATGCGATTTATCAAAAATTTTAGATATTTGCTACGTAAAAACGAACTACTAATATTAGAAATTTTCAGGTAAAACGAAATGCGAATATTAGAAATTTCAGATAGTTGTTGCGAGAAAAAAAATTCAGAGATTTGACGAAGTCCTACTTGCGTTACTTATGAGTGATCAATAGATCGCAAGCTGGCTACTTGATTGAGCGGGTCCTCTGAATGAGAGGTCCGCTCCGATACCAAACTGTTGAATACTGTAACGTGCAGACCAGAAGAAGAACCGACCTCTCAATGCAAAGTACAAGATAACACAGCGGAAGACTTAGATACGAATGATCCGAACAATCAATATTGCAATGCAGCCCTGAACACACATCATCATCATCGTTATCTGGTGTGAAGGGGGTTTGGCGCTTCACACAAGAAGACTGCGCCAGCCCCAACCATACGCAGACGAAGAAGGAGGGGTTAGACGAAAGAGGAGGGAGGATGGGAATATCGTCAACACCAAGTCTCGGTACAGGCCCAAATGGTCCCTCGTCGAAATGTCTGAATCCCAATGTCCAGTCTGGATCCAATGTCGTCAAGTCTCAAGTCACAACTCTTTCTCTCTCTGTCGTAGTCTGAGAAGTCAGGTGGCGAGAGGGTGAAAAGAGATGGTGGACTTAGAAGAGGAAGAAGAAGAACTCTCTCTCTCTGTGTCCAGTACTAACCTGTGAAGTTGGCGCCTCGATGCAGGTACCACGAAGATGGAGCTGGAGCGATGGCGCCACAGGTAACTACCACTGGCCTCCGCCAGTATCTCTCCCACTCTACGATCTATCGCCTACCAACGCCCAGCGCTGAAGACTACTCTATGGCTATGGGCGCCCAACGTCGAAGACTACAGCTAGCGCTAACTCCTACCTAGCGCTGAAGACTACTGTAGCGCTCCTCCTGAGTGCTGCGGCCGAAATCCTGAAGACTACCCGTGCCTACTAACAACTACCTACCCGTGAAGTGCATGGGAACTTCCTATGTACTACCGGAGCCGTGCGAGCAGTTCAGGAGGCTGCTCTTGCCAATGCCGAAGGGAGGCAGGGGCTGCAGCTGCAGCTCCTGCTCAAGCTCGTGAGGAACAGGCTATTTCTGGCCTGTTCCGAAACCCTGTATTCGTGCCTGAGTCTTAGGGGTGGTCGAAACAATGAGGGCCTGGAAAAGGGCTTCCGTTTCAGGCTGGAAAACCTCTGGGCCTGAAAGGCCCAGAAATAGGCCGAAACGGAGTAGGGCCTGCAGGCCCTCGTTTTTCAGCTTTCAGGCTGAAACGATCGGGGCCTGTAAGCCCTAAGTTTTAGGCTTTTAGGTTGAATGTCCGGGACTGGCCCTGCAGGGCCCGTGTGGCTACGCAGTATGCCACACAAGGGCTACCATGGGGTAGCCGGAATATTGTGAACCTTGGATCTCAGCCAGATCCAAGGCTGAAGTTGCACCGCCACTTGGAAAAATGCAACGGCCTACTCAAAAAGAGGCCAAGATCAGAAAAGTCAAGGAAATGGGCCTCTAGGCCCTTGTTTTTCAAGTAAGGCTGCCCCTTGGGCGTGGGGACCCTATGAAACAGCATTTTTGAAACTGAAAAGAGGCCAAGGGAGGCCAAGGGGTAGTTCGAGTTGGTACCAGCCACTCGGACTGCATGTACCTGGCCAAAATAAGGCCCGGGTACCCCCGGGAGGGCCTAGTGGTGAAAAATTGCCTTGGGGGTACCTCGGTTCACTTTGAGGCACATAGCGAAGCCCATGGGCTGGGCGGTGCACCTGTTTTAGCCTACATAAGCTGGGAGTTCAGTCCGCCACTCTCGCATTTGCATGAGGAGAGCCCATGTTGCCCAAATGAGCCCAAGAGTAAGCTAGACGAGAAGGCTCTAGAGGCTAGTGGTAGTGGAAGAAGGTGATCCGCCATAACCCCCAGGCTGTGGAAGAGAGAGAGAGGCGAGAGGGGGTCTGGTTAGCCCTTTTAGAGTTTGCCACAGCCCGGGTAGAAGGAGGAATAAAGGATAGAGGAGGAGGAGAGGTGCTTTGGGAAGGTAAAAGCCATAGCCAGGGAACGAGTATCAAGGTTGAGACTCCATCTTCAAGGCACTAATAGAGGTAAGTGGAAGGAAGGAGATTCTTCTTCTTCCTATTCCCCTTCTTCTTCTTCTTCTTCTTCTTCTTTCTCTCCTTCCTCTTCCTCCTTTCCGTCATTCTTCTTCACCTTTTTCTCCTTCTTCTTCTTCTTCCTCCTTCTTCTTCTCCTTTTTCTTCTACTTTGTCATTCTTCTTCTTCTTCTTCTTCTTCTTCTTCCTTTTCTTCCTCTTCTTCCTCCTCTCCTTCCTCTTCCTCTTCTCCGTCATTCTTCTTCACATTTTTCTCCTTCTCCTTCTTCTTCTTCCCCCTTCTTCTTTTCTTTGATTTCTTCCATCTCTTGATTTCCACTTGTTAAGGTGATGGATAGTACTCTGATTCACCCATGGATGCTCCGCTGCTCACCCGCTGTGTTTTGGGTTGTCCAAGTTCTTGTTTTTCTCTCATTTGGTAGTAGGTAGAGTTGCGAGTCACCCATGGATGCTCCACTGCTCATCCTTTGTGTTTTGGCCTGTCCAAGCTCTTGTTTTTCTCTCATTTAGTAGTAGATAGAGTTGCGGTTCACCCACACTCCGCTGCTCATCCCTTGTGTTTTGGCCTGTACAAGCTCTTGTTTTTCTCTCATTTTGTGGTAGACAGAGTTGCGATTCACCCATGGATGCTCCACTGCTCATCCCTTGTGTTTTGGCCTGTCCAAGCTCTTGTTTTTCTCTCATTTAGTGGTAGATAGAGTTGCGATTCACCCATGGATGCTCCGCTGCTCACCCCGTGTGTTCTGGCCTGTCCAAGCTCTTGTTCTCCACTCATTTTGATAGTAGGTAGTGTGGCGATACACCCATGGATGTTCCGCTGCTCATTCCTTGTGATATTGGTTGTTCTTGCTCTTGATTTGCACTCATTTGATAGTAGGAACTGTTGTGATGCACCCATGGATGTTCCGCTGCTCATTCATAGTGATATTGGTTGTTCTTGCTCTTAATTTGCACTCATCTGATAGTAGGAAGTGTTGCGACGCACCCGTGGATGTTCCGCTGTTCTTCCCTTGTGATTTGGGCTGGTCACACTAGTGCTATTCACTCATGTAGTAGGTAGTACTGTTCCGATTCTTCCTTGAGTGTTGTGTTGTTCTTCCCTTGTGATTTGGGTTGTTCACACTTGTGCCTTTCATTCATGTAGTAGGTAGCAGTGCTCCGATTCTTCCTTGAGTGTTGTGCTGTGTTTCCCCTCTGATTTGGGTTGTTCACACTTGTGATTTTCACTCATGTAGTAGTTAGTAGTGTTCCGATTCTCCCTTGAGTGTTGTGCTGTTCTTTCCTTGTGAGTTGGGCTGTTCAATCTTGTACTTTTCACTCGTGTAGTAGGTAGTAGTGCTCCGATTCTTCCTTGAGTGTTGTGTTGTTCTTCCCTTGTGAGTTGGGCTGTTCACACTTGTGCCTTTCACTCATGTAGTAGGTAGTAGTGCTCCGATTCTTCCTTGAGTGCCGTGTTGTTCTTCCCTTGTGATTTGGACTGTTCACACATGTGCTTTTCACTCATGTAGTAGGTAGTAGTGCTCCGATTCTCCCTTGACTGTTGTGTTGTTCTTCCCTTGCGATTTGGACTGTTCACACTTGTGTTTTTCACTCACGTAGTAGGTAGGAGTGTTCCGATTCTTCGAGTGTTGTGCTGTTCTCCCCTCGTGATTTGGGCTGTTCACACTTGTGCTTTTCACTCATGTAGTAGGTAGTAGGGCTTCGATTCTCCCTTGAGTGTTATGTTGTTCTTCCTTTGTGATTTGGGTTGTTCACACTTGTGCTTTTCACTCATGGAGTAGGTAGTAGTGCTCTTATTCTTCCTTGAGTGTTGTGTTGTTCTCCCCTTGTGAGTTGGACTGTTTACACTTGTGCTTTTCACTCATGTAGTAGGTAGTAGTGTTCCGATTCTTCCTTGAGTGTTGTGCTGTTCTTCCCTTGTGATTTGGGCTGTTCACACTCGTACTTTTAACTCATGTAGTAGGTAGGAGTGTTCCGATTCTTCCTTGAGTGTTGTGCTGTTGTCCCCTTGTGATTTGGGTTGTTCACACTTGTGGTTTTCACTCATGTAGTGGGTAGTAGTGTTTCGATTCTTCCTTGAGTGTTGTGTTGTTCTTCCCTTGTGATTTGGGTTGTTCACATTTGTGCTTTTCATTCATGTAGTAGGTAGCAGTCCTCCGATTCTTCCTTGAGTGTTGTGCTGTGTTTCCTCTGTGATTTGGGTTGTTCACACTTGTGCTTTTGACTCATGCAGTAGGTGGTAGTGCTCTAATTCTTCCTTGAGTGTTGTGTTGTTCTCCCCTTGTGAGTTGGAGTGTTCACACTT